CTTGAATGATAATATGAAAAAGTATATACATCAATTTACCGCTAATAATCTTCTTGATCTTGTTCCGTTATCTCAAGTTGAACTCCGTGTTCTTGCCATAGACGCTTAGCAAATGGGGGATACTTTCCAAGCACCTGAACATCCGAAGCGTAATAAATCAATTTTTCCCACGTATGACGAGTTAATAAAACATCTTGTGGATCAGGTGTTGCCGGATAATTTGTCACACCGCAAATCATATTACCAATAGTATTATTAGGATCAATTTTATGAGCAATTTGTACCGCCCTACTGCTGGCTACCAGTTGATAGTGTAACTTCTGGTATGCTTTTTGATAATCTGTATCCTGAGCATTTTTATCAAATGACAGCATCAATAATGGCGCGTTAATTTCATTAAAAGTGATCCATTTAGTCACAATCCCTTTATATTCCTTGAACAAAGTTTCAGCGTAATGAACATAGCAATCTATCATATTGCGGTCTTGCCAATCATGATACTTCTGCGAAATAACTAGTGGATCATCATAATGTGAAATTGTGACTAGTGGCTCAATCTGATATTTGCGTAATTCTTTAAAAATTCGATGATAGAAGTCTAACCCCTTTTTGTTTGGCTCTTTTTCATCGCCATTGGGAAAAATCCGTGACCAAGAAATTGACATTCGATAAACCTTGAATCCCATTTCAGCGAGCATTTTAATATCTTGCTGATAATTATGGTAAAAATCAACTGCCCTTTGATTAGGATAATAATAATTTGAAAACACGGCTCCATGCGCTCCCTGAGGAAGATTATTCTGCCTGATAAAGCAGTTTCTGTTCCAGGGAGACCATTTTTGTCAATATAGGTAATTTGTCTTGCTTTATTTAAGAGCCGGCGGTCATGATGTCGCTAATTGCTAGTCCACGACCATCTTCTTGATAGCCACCTTCGATTTGATTTGCAGCAGTAGCACCGCCCATAAAAATTTTCCGGAAAAACAGCCATATACTACTTACCTCCATTACGCCATTAATTGCAAAATCGGTTATTCAAATCAGTTACTGTCGCAGAATCTAGTAATTCGACATTTTGATATGAATTAGTGTTGGTAATAATGACCATAACTTCATCATTATATCCACTAGCTGTGATTTTAGAACGATCAAATTCAATCAGCAATTGACCCTTAGTAACTTTTTGGCCTTGTTTAACGTGAGCGGTAAAGTATTTGCCTTTTAGATCAACTGTATCAATACCGATATGAATCAGAATCTCGGCTCCATTATCTCCTAAGATGCCAATAGCATGTTTAGTACTAAATAGCGAAACAACTTTGCCGTCTACTGGAGCATAAACCTTGCCTTCACTGGGTTTAACGACAAATCCCTTGCCCATTGCCTGTGATGCAAATGCTTCATCATCACTTTGACTCAATGGCAAGAGCTCACCTTTAACTGGAGAGCTAATTTCGGCGTAGACTACTTGCGGTTCTGTAGCAAGCTGTACCTTCTTTTTATCATTAGTTTCATATTTCAAACTCAAAAGATATGTCAATACTGCCGTAATAACAACGCCAATGGCCATGGCAATCAAAATATTAATTAAGTAACGCAGGGTATTATCACCTATGTACAGTAAAACTGCTGGCAAGCCTGATGAACCGGTGGCAAAGCGATGAGTATGAGTAAGACCAGCATACAGTCCGCCAAATGCGCCACCAATCATTGCAGCAATTAACGGATATCGTTTAGGTAAATTAATACCATAAAGTGCAGGCTCAGTAATTCCCATGTACGCAGTAATTGAACTTGAAAAGCCTAATTCTTTAGTTTTTTGATCACGTGTTCTTAATGCCACAACCAACGCTGCAGTTGCAGAGCACATATTAGAAACTACACATCCAGGGCCAAAGATACTGTCGTAGCCCTTGGTTGCCATTTGCATAACGCCCAAAGGAGCAATTCCATTGTGTAAACCGAACATTACCATAATTGGCAATAATCCACCAACAAGTAATGCTGGCGCCCAGCTCGCATTGACGCTGAGATACGTAAAAAATTGCGATAAGTAGCCGCCAAGAATATCACCAATTGGGCCTAGGACTGATAAAGCTAAAATACCCATAATTAGTAATGTAAGCATTGGAACAAATACCAATTCAACCGCCTTAGGAATTAGCTTATTTAAGAAATGTTCGATATAACTTTGAACAAAAACAATTAAAATTATCGGAATAACCGAATAGGCATAATTTACCAAGTGAAAAGGAATAACATTAAATAAATTAACTGGTTTTCCTGCTGTTACAAAGGAAAGCCACGTGGGGTTAACTAGCACAGTTGCAACTGCAGCAGCAATAATTTGATT